AGTTATTGATTTTTACAGTATCTATGGGGTTTTCCTTTCTAAAGTTTTATTTGAAGTACTGTACAATGTCAACATCTTGATTTGCATAATAAAATCTGGCATTACACCCCACTCCAAAAACTCGCTAGCTCGTCTGGAATATGCGGCCATCTATACAAAAAAACAGATGACCAACCATGATTATACATAATCCAATTAAATGTAAATATGTCTACCAAACACAGAAGCTACGATTCAGACCATGTATTTAGCATATAAATGTAAGTGTTGCAAATATGGAAGTGATAATAGTAATATTAGCCGTTTCCTTATAAAGAAACATTTGGCAATCATTGAACGAACAGCCAGTGTAAGATCAGTTAAGTTTTCATTCATTTTTTTATGCTGTCAGGCTTGGATGAAGGTGTAGTATCTGTTCTTATCGTTTCTAAATGTAATGACAATTTTAGTAGTTTCCTGATAGGGAAACGTTCGATATTCATTGATTGAGCGGCTAGTACTAGAAAAGTTACACATGTCTCAGTTCAACGCTATCAGACCTGAATTAAAAAGTAGTCTATATTTCTCTTGTGTCTAATTTTAGTAGCGATATCAGCCGTTCCCTTATAAAGAAACATTTGCCATTCATTGAACGAGCAGTTTCTCCTTTCTCTTGAAATTTATAAAATCTTTTTTCTTAAAATAAATTTCCAAGAAAATAGATTTTTCAAGTCCAGTAGCCGTTATTGCTCTTTCGGTTTGCATTCCTAACTATTTATTTGAATTATTTGATGTTTATGAGGATCAAAGTTGACTGAAAGAATGTGATTGAAGAAACTGTCAACATAGAACTTACATCTTGCCATTTTCAACTGTAAAATAATGAAATATAGTTGGCAATATTGTACCACGCTTAAAATGGTAAATTCGAGATACGGAAGATGAAAATGCGTTGATCATGTGGAGACAGCAATGGAGGAACGAACAGTTTGGAAAAGGGTTTTCAGTGGAGTTCCGGTCAGCGATAGGGAAGTCAAAGTCTGACTATATTCAATCTTATCTCAATCGTATGCATTCCAGTCTTTACTTATTATTGTTGTAGACGTTTGTATTCGTTTTCGCGTCCCTTCTAGTGTTTTTTGATTTTTTCTTCGACAAACTCAACATAATCGCAGGGTTGACTCAAACCCCGTTCACCTAATCGCACGGGTTATTTTCTGTTCTTACTTATACCTCATTTCAATGCAACGTGTAGACACATTTTCGACAAAGTAAATACAGAGCACTGAAGCCACGATCAACAATCTTCGTAGCTATCAAATATTAAAGCCAGCGAACAGAGAAAAGTCTTTATTTATTCATTCGAGAAAGTTGTAGGAAAATATGATGTCAGGTAGAAAAATAAATAGATAAATATTAAATAATGGGGACTGTCCAAAGAGAGCCGAGGCTGACGGTATCGGCGAACACGTCTCTAATACACCGGTACGTTGATGAGGCAAAGGGTTATACGTGACCGAGTGAGCAAATTTCAGTAATCGGGTGACTGCAGATAAACAGAACTGTTACAAATTAGAAAAAAAAAGGATATAAATATAAAAGAACTACCGCAGTTCAATACGGAAGAAGAGAGAGAAAAAAATGATCTATCGACAAACATCACAAGGCCTAGGTATAAATTTTCCGCAACAAGCAGGAGCGGTAATGGCAACAGTAACAGAGCAGTTTTAAGGATCGAAATTATAGACTCAGGACTGTCCCACAGGACCATAGCCTTGTTAATTCTTTCGGGAATTCGGTTCAATATATTTCGTGTCGCTTCATGAAGTGGGTGATCATAGCTCTCCAGAGTTTTTTAACAGTTGTAAATTATTTAAACTATTTACATTGTTCGTACTGTTGTCCTTATCTTCGTTGCCATATTCACGACGTTTCGGCCGTTGTACGCTTCGACTTTCTTCAGGTAATTGCAGTGTCCAACTGAAGCCTTTATTTCGTCCAGCGGGTTAGATTGCTCTAGTTCCACGTATCATGCCTCTTCCGGATGTCTCTGTATCAGTTATTCTCCCCCTTAACTAACGAGTACAGTTCAAAGGCAAGGTGCTAAGAAACGGAAACATATCGTTAGAAACAAAGAAAAATCGGCCTGCATATTATATATATATATATATATATATATATATATATATATATATATATATATATATATATATATCCATCCACACTTTTTGAAAGGCTGAATACAGAGACCTGGTGCACCTAAGTGCCACAAGGTACCCAAACCACCCTCCGGAGGTTTTGAATTCAGAGTTGTCCTTCTCCTCGACCAGTTTCAATCCAAGGTTGTAGAACCCAGTCTGTCCTGCTATTTTACCCATAGCTGGAGGGAGAAGAAGAGGATTCATACTTTTCCCAAGGGTATTAGCACGTAAGTAAATGTAATGAAAAAAAAGTGTGGATGGTCCTGCACGAGGCCTTCACCACTATAATCAAATCTCATGTGTCGGTGTCGGGCTGTCGGTTTCTGAAACTGATCTGCTTGGCCCTCATACATCGAAATTGACGGGACAGTCGACTATATATATATATATATATATATATATATATATATATATATATATATATATATATATATATATGGTAAGAGACACAATGTTATATGAACACACAATCTACCCACTGATGAGGGGACAACTAGAGACAGCAGAGATGAGAAAGGAGGGTTTGTAAAACGACGTTCACAAGGGCATAGTGATGTCAAGAAAGCGGCGAGCCATTCTCCTAACGAGATTGTTTGACTGGATGGACAAATGGGAGCCCGAGTCCTAGCATAGAGGGAGAAAAACTGCTAAATATCACAAGGGAGAGGAAGCTGTGAAGAAACATGGACCCCTGAAGTCTTGAAGTGTCAGTGCAAATATAAGAACCATATATCACTTGGTGTCTTATGAATCTTGCCTTTTATTAAGATTCCTATTTTTTTTTATATGTAATGAGTAGTGAGAACATTGGCGGTAATGATTCTCCACAACTTCCTATCTCTTTTAACACTAATCAAGATTACTCTTCTAACCATCTCCACCAGTTCAACATGAATCAACTATTTACACAACCTTGCTTGTTTGTTCCGGGTTTCTCTCCCCGACTATTGCTTTCAATATGTCCTGTAAGTCTCTAATTCTCCAAGCCTACTTTCCTCATTCTAATTCAAATTACAAGTATCCTATGTATCTTATTTCGTCGTTTATTCTGTGTTCCCTTCTTGAAGTTCTCAGCATCCTTCTGTAGGACTTCATGTCTCATATAAACTTTTAGGGAATTTCCCAGCATTAACCGCCATGTACGATTATAGGTAAGACCATCACCCGCGCTACCATGCGACCAATGCCCCCAGAGCCTTGTCGGTTTTAGGCATCGTGGAGTCACCTGATGCAGTAAACTCAGATATGAATGGTGCCGACGACGATGACGATTGGTTGATATATTTTTTTTAATAGCATATCAACCTCTTTGGGTTATTTAATGCAAAAATCTAAATAATTTGAATACAATTATATGGCTTCAACTAAAAATCTGTTGAACTCACTTTTATGTCTTCGATTACAGATAAAATGTATTCTTGGTCATTATAATTTAAAACAGTTTTATTTGTAATTTTACTATAAATATATATTGGGTATTTTTATATATATATATATATATATATATATATATATATATATATAAATGTAATTTTATACTTTAATAGTGTTTTGTTTCTGTTCGGGGGTTGACTATTTGTCCATAGCTGGGACCCTAACAGGTGCCACCACCCCGGGTCAGGGTGGACCTTGAAACAACTGCAATAAAGTGGTGGTTCCACGCTCCTCAAAACCTCCAATTTCCCGATTAGAGGCTTCCTGCCGGATGTAGTTTATCGTTATACCCAGGACTCACGATGGTGACGATGACGAGAATAGATATTACGTATTAGTTCGGCATTTTTTTTTCTTTTAACGAAATGTTCTAATATCTTAATACCGTTTTTTTTTTTTAGTTTCGGCGGAGATATCATTCGATACTCCAGTGCGCCTTCGGATTTCTGTGCCATATTTTCCATAGTGTATCATAAGACTTCCCAGATAATTAAATTCTCCTGCTGCTGAATCTTCTTTTTTATAAATGTGTCTATGCTTTTCTTTCCCGGTTTCCTTCCCCTATGCCTGTTATCAACACGGTGCGCTGTGTCTTTTTGCGTATTTCTCTGCTGTTAATATTGTGTTTACCGATAACACATGCCAGTTGAAGTCTTTTAGTTCTTTTAGAATTGCCTCGTTGTACAAGGTGAAAAAAAATTTTTAATGAGAAAACGTATTCTTGTTTTACACACCTTTTCATTTTTGCATAATTGTTCAACGTCTCTCTCTTCCTCTCTCTCTTCTTCCTCTCTCTCTCTCTCTATCTATCTCTCTATCTATCTATCTATCTCTGCACGATGACGTTTTTTCTTCCAGTAAATGTAACGAATTATTCAAATATTAGACGCAAATTCATTTGAAATATGTTTTTATTTCCCTTAAAGACATTATTGCAGGGCCTGATCTAATTAGAAATTTTTCGCTTCAGATGATCATTCGTTCCGAGATCACTTCAGCCATCTTATAGTTTTGACATTTTAGAGGAATGTCTTCTGGTTTCAAATTTTCAGATATTGAAAACTGCAAAAATAGCATTAAATTGTACTTATTATCAAGATTAGAATAATGTATATACAGGTATCCCAAAATAATGTATACACTCTTTAAATATTAATAGTTAATAATACATTTTTTTATATGGAGGAAAATATGCAAAATAGATGGATTGGACAGTTGATCACTTAGATCACCAGATTTGACACCATTGTATTTCTTTTTGTGGGGGTTTCTAAAAGACAAAGTTTACTGCAGGAAACCTGAAACAATTGCTGAAATGAAAGTAGGAATTGAAGAATGTGTTCAAATACCAGAGGAAATGATACTGCAAATTTGTAGGTCTTCAAGATATGAGAAGTGTATTGAACAGAACTGCAACCAGTTTGAGCACTTGATGTGAACTCATAATTATATGAACTTTCTGTCATTGTAGCTTTTATCTTATTAAAGTTAATTTTCTGTTTTTTTGTATATTTTACTCTCAAATTCTTTAAATGCCTATTCTTTCTCTTGTATTAATCTTACTTACAAGTCAAAATACATAAATTGAATAAGTTATAACGATTCAAAGAGAGAATACATTATTTTGGGACACCCTGTATATATAAGTTTATATATATATATATATATATATATATATATATATATATGATGTACTCTTCCGCGAATTTTGACGTATGGCGATCCGACAACCTCATTGTGGTTCTATGCTTGCGTTGTATGTGACACTTCATTCCAGCTAGTAAACTGCATACAAGTTCACATACTATGCAACATCAGGCTTCTTGGAACATAGCCACAGGAATATTTGTAGACGCTTTTCGCCTTTGTCTTTCGTCTTTTAGTCGGTCAATAAAACTGATTTCGAAATTTCTCATAAAATTTCAGTCAATTCTATCCGGGGCAATTCGCTCAAAGTCAATATGAGGCACATTGACAGTCGAGAGTATACCATTGTCATACCTGAATGTACCTATTCTATTATTAACAGACTCTCCCACACATAATAAGTAGTAGTAGTAGTAATAGCCGCAGCAGTCGCCAGTTGGGCTTAATGTTGTTGAGCGAGTCAGTCGATATCGGGCATTGAAGTACCAACCATCACGACTAGATTGCTGCGTCATTAACTCTTATTTCAAGTTCCTAACGTTTTGTACGTCGAACCTAATTTAGGACGACTTATTGAAATACAAGCCTCCACTGTGAAAACTACTCTAAAACAACCCTATAGTTTGAATTTAGACCTGACACGTCCATCCGACAGTCCTTTGTGAAGCCGGCTATCCATGAGTTCCTAAGGTTACCCAGCGAAGTTGTGACTGTAGGAAAGTCTCAGTAAGATTTCGTTATGCATATCTCAGTATATTTGATTATTCATCCAGCCAATGCGAACAATCTTTACCTTAGTTGTATAATATGTTCTTCGCCAGAATTACATAGAGTTTGAATTCAGAGTTTCATTTCTCTTAGGCCGGTTTCCATCCAAGGCTATAGAAGCCAGTCTATTAAGGAATAGACCGTAATCGGGATCATCGAGCCAATGCGAACGATACTTTCCTTAGCTGTATAGTATGTGAAGGAACGGATTACGTTGAGCTTGGAATCATAGTTTCCGTTCTCCTAAGCCAGTTTCATCCAAGGCTATAGAACCCAGTCTGTTAAGAAGTAGACGGTAATCGGGATCATCGAATCAAGTGGAACGATCCTTTCCTTAGCTGCATAATATGTGCTTCGCCAGGATTATATAGAGTTTGAATTCAGATTTTCCGTTCGCTTCGGCCGGTTTCCATCCAACTCAGCATAGTATGTGCTATACCAGGTATACATACAGTTTTGAATTCGGAGTTACTTTATCCTAGACCGTTTGCCATCCAACCCAGTCTGGAGGAAAGAAGAGGATTCATACCTTCCCCGAGGTTAATAGCACTGAAAGAATTCGAACTCGGCTCTCCGATTCCTCAATCCTAGCCGCTATGCAGTATTCCAC